AAAAAAAAAAAAAAAAAAAAAAAAAAAAAAAAAAAAAAAAAAAAAAAAAAAAAGTTATACACACACACACACAGACACACTTTAAAATGCAGAAATTATATTTTGTATTCACCTTTTTTCCCCCTCTGTGAATGAAGAAGTCCAAGACCAGTCACATAGTTACTTCTGTTAAGAGCCCCAAAAGAGGTCATAAATGAATTTGTGGGACTTGTTGAAATTTGACAGGGTGAAGTCCCACACAGATGGAGAAGAAAATGTGGCAAGAATAGGATTTTGGAAACTTGCCTAAACTTTCCTAAAACTTTCAGGATTCAAGAATCAGAAATCATAAAGACGTAGGAGAATTAAGAATTAAGTGTCAAACTAAGAAGAGCAGAGCAAATTCCAAGAAAAAAGGAAGAAAAATACTGTTTGGTGTTTTAAAGAGGTAGAGCTAGATGAAGACTAAGACTTGAGATACTAAATTGAGGGCCTAATGGCACACACATGCTTGTAATCCCAGCATTTTGGGAGGCCTAGGTGGAAGGATGCCTGGAGCCCAGGAGTTTGAGGCTGCAGTGAGTTATGAGCCGCTGCACTCCAGCTTGGGCAAGAGTGAGACCTTGTGTCAAAAAAGCAACAAGATATGTAATTGAGAAACTGTTATTTGAATATATAATTGAATATATATTCTGTCCAGCAGTGATGGAATAACAAGGAATGGATTTTCCTTGCTATTTTAAGCAAGGAAAACTGGACAATATGTGAAATAGCAATTTCTAGGCACTGGGTAACACACAACACAAGACTGTGGTCACGGAAAGGTGAGAAACAAACCTGCTGAGTTCTCTGGTTGCTCCAGTTTATTATCTGGAGGTAGTTTTCAGGGTGCAGAGCAGGGATGGGGAACCCAAATTAAAGCCTGGTGTCTTACTGAATTGAGAGGACAAGATGGGTCTTGGCAGGGAGGGAAGATTGTCAGAATTTGTCGGGCAGAGTACCAGAGAGGTGGGAGTTGTACACAGAACTCCAGAGGCAGGTGGAAGATTCTCCTGAAGTCAGGATGAGTGCTGACCTACACATGCATGTGAGGAGAGCACCTGAGGCCAGAGAAAGAACCTCGCTGGAAAGGAGCAGGCCAAACGATTCCTGGAACTCACACGGAGCTGGGAATAGTCTGTTGCCATTAGCCAGAGTTATATACAAAGGCATCAAAAGGGCATGGTCTTTTGTAATGCGTCTAAATTAGCCCTAAGTTAAAGGGTACTCTGGACCTACTCTAACAATGAAAAAGCAAGTCTTGGAAGATCCAGCCGATTTAAAGAATCTTACCTATGTGTGAGAAGAAAGTCATTGCTATTTTAAAAAATACACAAAATCTAAAACACAAAACTCAAAATGTTAGGCTTTCAATAATCCTAGGTTCAAGCAATTCTCTTGCCTCAGCCTCCCGAGTAGGTGAGATTACAGGTGCATGCCACCACACCTGACTAACATTTTTGTATTTTTAGTAGAGATGGGGTTTCACTATGTTGGCCAGGCTGGTCTCAAACTCCTGACCTCATGATCTGCCTGCCTCGGGCTCCCAAAGTGCTGGGATTACAGGTGTGGGCCACTGCGCCTGACCTGAAGAGACATCTTTAAGGCACTTTTTAAAAAGCCTACTGGGGCTGGGTGCAGTGGCCAACACCTGCAATCTCAGCAGTTTGGGAGGCTGAGGTAGGAGGATTTCCTGAGTCCAGGAGTTCGAGACCAGCCTGGGTGACATGGCAAAACCCCACCTCTACAAAGAATACAAAAATGAGCAAGGCATGGTGGCACACCTGTGGTCCCAGCTCCTTGGGAGACTGATGTGAGAGGATCGCTTTACCCTGGGAAGCAGAGGCTGCAGTGAGCTGTAATTGAGTCACACTGCACTTTAGCCTGGGTGACAGAG